GCGATGACGACGACGGCAGCGAAGGCGACGACGACGGCGACGGCGACGGCGACGGTTGCGACGGTTGCGGCGGTTGCGACGACGACGACGATGACGACGCCGATGCTGCCGACCACGGCGGCGGCGGCGACGCCGTCGCCGATGCTGACGACGATGATGGCGACGACGACGTCGACGACGACGGCGACGACGACGACGGCGACGACGGCGACGCCGACGACGACGGCGACGACGGCGACGATGGCGGCGACGACGACGACGGCGACGAAGACGATGACAACGCCGACGCCGATGCTGACGGCGACAATGGCGACGACGACGGCGAGGAAGATGGCGACGACGACGATGGCGACGACGACGGCGACGAGGATGACGGCGACAACGACGACGGCGACGACGGCGACGATGGCGACGACGACGACGTCGGCGACGGCGACGACGGGGCCGACGACGGCGACGACGGCGACGACGCCGACGACGACGGCGACGACGGCGACGACGGCGACGGCGACGACGGCGACGATGGCGACGATGATGATGACGCCGATGCCGATGCTGACGACGACGATGGCGACGACGGCGACGGCGGCGCCGACGACGGCGACGACGACGGCGACGACGACGACGGCGACGACGGTGACGAGTGCGACGACGACGACGACGATTGCGACGACGACGACGATGACGACGCCGACGCCGATGCTGACGATCACGATGGCGACGACGACGGCGACGACGACGATGGCGACGACGACGGCGACGATGACGGTGATGACGACGGCGACGACGGCGACGACGTCGACGATGGCGACGGCGGTGACGACGGCGACGACGACGGTGCTGGCGACGACGATGGCGACGACGACGGCGACGATGACGGCGACGACGCCGACGGCGACGACGGCGACGATGGCGACGACGACGACGACGTTGACGACGACGTCGACGATGACGACGGCGACGCCGATGCTGACGACGACGGTGGCGACGACGACGGCGATGACGACGGCGACGCCGATGCTGACATCGACGATAGTGACGACGACGGCGACGACGACGATGGCGACGACGACGGCGACGACGACGACTGTCATATCGACGACGGCGACGACGACGACGACGGCGACGACGACGACCCTGGGACGGCGACGATGATGCTGACGCCGACGGCGACGACGACGACGGCGATGACGACGGCGACGACGACGCGACGACGACGACGGCGACGGCGACGGACGGCGACGACGACGACGGCGACGACGACGGCGACGACGGCGAAGATGGCGACGACGACGACGACGACGACGGCGACGACGTGTCGACGCCGATGCTGACGGTGACGATGGCGACGACGGCGCCGACGATGGCGCCGACGACGGCGCCGACGACGACGACGACGGCGACGACGACGACGGCGACGACGACGACGACGTGACGACGGCGACGATGGCGACGACGACGACGGCGACGCCGACGACGCCGATGCTGACGACGACGATGGCGACGACGACGGCGACGACGACGGCGACGACGACGGCGCCGACGACGGCGGCGACGACGACGCCGACGACGACGATGGCGACGACGACGACGATGGCGACGACGAAAACGACGGCGACGACGACGACGATGACGACTCCGACGCCGATGCTGACGACGACGACGACGATTGGGACGATGACGGCGACGAAGACGACGGCGACGACGATTGCGACGACGATGACGACGACGATGGCGACGACGGCGACGATGGCGACGACGGCGACGACGGCGACGACGGCTTCGACGAGGACAGCGACGACGACTGCGCCGACGACGACGGCGACGACGACGGCGGCGTCGACGACGACGACGACGCCGACGCCGACCCTGACGACGATGGCGACGACGACGTCGATGACGATGGCGGCAACGACGACGGCGACGAAGACGGCGACGACGATGGCGACGACGACGTCGTCGTTGACGGCGACGATGACGACGGCGGCGTCGATGACGGCGACGATGACGCTGACGCCGATGCTGACGACGACGATGGCAATTACGACCGTGACGACGACGGCGACGACGACGGCGACGATGAGGCGACGACGACGGCGACGGCGGAGACGATGACGACGACGACGGTGCCGACGCCGATGACGACGACGACGATGGCGACGACGACGGCGATGGCGACGGCGACGGCGACGGTGCTGGCGCCGGCGACGACGACGATGACGACGGCGACGACGACGCCGATGACGACGACGACGCCGATGCTGACGACGACGATGGCGACGGCGACGCCAGCGACGACGACGCCGACGACGGACGAAGACGACGATGACGACGCCGACGCCGATGCTGACGACGACGATGGCGACGACGACGGCGACGACGATGGCGACGACGACGGCGACGCTGACGACGGAAGACGACGCAGACGACGACGACGACGGTCAGGACGACGACGGCGACGACGACAACGACGATGACGACGCCGACGCTGATGCTGACATCGGCGATGGCGACGACGACGGCGACGATGACGGCGACTGCGACGACGACGGCGACGACGATCACGACGACGACGGCGACGACGGTCAGGACGACGACGTCGACGCTGACGCCGATGCTGACGACGATGGCGAGGGCGACGACGACGATGACGTCGATGACGACGGTGACGGTGACCACGACGGCGACGACGACGGCGGCGACGATGGCGGCGATGACGGCGACGACGACGACGATGACGACGCCGACGCCGATGGTGACGACGATGATGACGACGACGACGACTGCGACGACGACGACGCCGACGACGGACGACGACGATGACGGACGACGACGACGACGACGACGATGGCGACAACAACGACGACGACGACGACGGTCAGGACGGCGACGCCGATGTTGACGACGGTGACGACGCCGACGCCGATGCTCATGTCGATGATGGTGACGACGACGTCGACGAAGACGGCGACGACGACGGCGACGATGCCGACGACGGGCGACGACGACGGCGACGACGACGACGGGCAGGACGATGACGATGACGACGCCGACCCTGGTGCTGACGACGATGGCGACTACGACGATGTCGACGCCGAAGCGGATGCTGACGACGACGATGGCGACGGCGACGACGACGACGACGGCGACGACGGCGGCGACGATGACGACGACGGCGACGACGACGATGGCGACGACGACGACGACGACGACGACGGCGGACGACGACGACGACGACGACGGCGAATACGACCACGACGACGCGACGATGGCGACGATGACGGTGACGGCGACGGCGACGACGGTCAGGGCGATCTCTCTCAGGGTTCGATCTAAACGGTTTTTTTTGATATCGTTGGCCGTTTTCGTCTTGAAGCCGCGTCGCAACAGAAGCAGACGGCAGTCAGGTCGATGGAGAAGGAACATGAAGCGAAATCGAAAAACACTGTTTAGCTCGGGCCCTGCTCTCTCTCTCTCTCTCCTCTTCTCGTCGCCGACGCCGACGCCGACGCCGACGCCGACGCCGACGCCGCCCACGACGACGATGACGACGACGACGACCCCGACGATCACGACGACGACGAACACGACGACCACGACGACCACGACGACGCCGACGCCGACGCCGACGACGACGCCGATGTTGACGACGTGGACGACGACGATGACGACGACGACGCCGATGCTGATGCTGACAACCACGATGGCGACGATCCCGACGACTACTACGACGCTGGTCAGGATGGAGAGTTGGCGCTGAGGAAATGGTCCGGATTTCCGTGGAGGAGGTCGTGCTGACAAAAGCCGCGGTGTCGGATGTTTGGGAAAGAAGAGGGTCTTGAGGGGATTCGTGACCCGGTTGGGTTGGCTGCTTCGCAGTCGGCTGCTTTCTGTCGGTTCGATTCGGTAGGCTGTTGCGCCGCGGCGTCCATTTTTGTCGGTGCGTCGGTTTCGGCCAGTTTTTGCTTCCCTGTCGATATAGTCAGTTTTCGGTCTTCGATTTTGGTGTCACCTTAGACGCCTACGGTACGACATGTTTCTCGCCGTTTTAGGGTCCTTGGGCGCTCCTGGGTCTCAGGGCCGCAAACAAGGTCTCGATCATGATAAACCCGTCCTGGGGAAGTCCCAGCGGACCAGGGCTCCTTTTCACCAGGACATGTCTTGGCGCGCGCGCGAGCGCTCGGAGCCGTCGCCATTATCAGGGTCGCCGTTGCCGTCGCCGTCGCCGTCGCTGTCGCCGCGGCCGCCGCGGCTGCCGTGGCCGCCGCCGTCGTGGCCGCCGCCGTCGTCGTCGTCGTCGTCGTCGTCGTCGTAGTCGTCGTCGTCGTCGTCGTCGTCGTCGTCGTCGTCGTCTGTCGTCGTCGGCGTCGGCGGCGTCGGCGGCGGCGTCGGCGTCTTCGTCGTCGTCAGTCGGCGGCGGCGGCGGCGTCGTCGTCGTCGTCGTCGTTGGTGTGGACCGCGGTTCAGGTTCTAGAAATTTGGATTCTGTTTTGTCTCAGAAGGTTTCCAGGGTCCTGCAGGGGCATCTTGGGTTTTCGGGAATCTCCAGATACACCTGGATGTATGTGGTGGTGGTCGTCGTCATTTGATCTTTGTAGCCCCCCTGGTGGGCCCTCGCTGCTGTGATTCCTGGATGTTCCTGGTTCCTCCCCTGGCTCCTTTCGCTCCTCTCGCTCCTCTCGCCCTCTGCTTGTGCTCGTGCGTGATCTTGTTCTGCTCTGCCGCAGTCGTTTGCGCTTCACCGATGCAGGGCCCTCGGTCTTAGAGCTACGTTCCCCGCCAAGAGGAAGAGTACCATCGGCGATAATCGCTCACATCGCAGCCGCCACGGCTGGGCGCAGCTCGCAAGCCAGGATGACGCTCGCCGCCGCCGCCGCCGCCGCCGTCGCCGCCGCCGCCGCCGCCGCCGCCGTCGTCGTCGTCGTCGTCGTCGTCGTCGTCGTCGTCGTCGTCGTCGTCGTCGTCGTCGTCGTCGTCGGGAACCGCTGGCGGCGGTGACCGCGCGGCGGCGGTGGCCGCGGCCCGCGCGCACAGGAGGGCGCTGGGGGCGGTCGCAGCCGTCGGCCTGGCTCTCGGCGGCCTCGCCTCCGCCGCCTTCGTGGCCGCGGCGCCGCCGCGGGGCGGCCGGGCGGGGCGCGGGGGGCAGGCGGGGGCGTCGGCCACGCGCGTGCAGGGGGAGGGAGGGAGGGAGGGAGGGAGGGAGGGAGGGAGGGAGTGGGCCCCTCGCCGCAGTGCAGGCGGGCGCAAGCATGGATCAAGGGGTCGTGGAGCAGCGACGGGCCCAGTTTCCGTGGGAACTCGCGGGTTTCCGCCGCCGAGCGAGGGGCACCGGCCGCATTTTTGGGAGGGTATGCCTCCCCCGATGCGTGGATTTGGCGACCCCGCGCCAAATCCACGGATCGCCAACCCATGTCTGCGCGCCCCCGAGCAGTGGCCTGTGGTGCGGGTCTGCTCTGGAGCAGTGGGCCGGCGGGTCGGCCCAGCGGCGAGAGGCGCCATCGCTCCGCACTGTGGCGTGCCGTCGTGCGCAACTGTCCAGCGGCCTCCGGCCATGCCGCCACCGTGCCAGCCCAGCATTCGGGGTGGCAGCTGCTCGAGAAGGCAAGGGGGCCCTGCGGTTGGACCCTCGGATTCGTGTTCCCACTCTTATGCCTTTCTTGGGATCGTCTTGGGGCCCTCTTGGGCAGTCGTTGGCGCCTCTATGGCCGTCTTAGAGCCCTCTTGGGCCGTCTTGGAGCTCTCTTGAGGGCCTCTTGAGCCGTCTCGGGTGAGGCTTGGGTGCCTCTTTGGCCGTCTTGGAGCGTCGGAAGCTCGAAAAGGTGAGAACCCACGCCGCATTGAAAACGCAGCGGACAATCAATGTTTTTTTGCCTCCCGGGGCCCGGGGGCCTCTTGGTGGCTGTTTTTGCCCTTCTGGGGCCTCCTGAGCACTCTTGGGGCGGAATGCTCGACGACGACGACGACGACAACGACGACGACGACGACGACCACGTCGACGACGGTGATCCACGCAAGACGACGACACCGGGATGCGTCTTCCACACGCCGACAGGGTCGGCGGATTTGTGTCTATTTATTTGTGTGTCCTTGGGCCCCTTGAGTGTGGTTGTTTCTGGCTTCCTCTTCCTTCGGCGTCTGCCGCGTGGCTTCTTTGGGGGCCTCTCTTGGAGGCCTCGGGCGTGGCCTCCTGGAGCCTCTTTTGGGGCTCCTGGGTACTTTTTTGGGGCCCTCTGAGAGCTTCCTGGGGGCCACATGCGAACCCTACCTCTACCCCCTACGATTTCTGAGGGGGAGGGTGGGGTTCACTTCGCTCGCGAGCTCGGGAGGGTGGGGTTCACTTCGCTCGGGAGCTCCCGAACGAAGTGAACCCCACCCTCCCCCTCAGAACTCGTGGGGGGTAGAGATAGGGTTCGCATGTGGCCCCCTAGGCTTCCTGGGGGCAGCTTTGTGGCATGTTGGGGGCAGTCTTGGGGGCAGTCTTGAGGGGTATGGCTCCCGAGGCCCTTGGGAGCTCCGCTCTTGGTCCTCCGCGGCCCCTCCTGCGGCCCTCCTGGGGGCGGATTTGGCGGCTCCGAGTGCCAGGGAGGTGCGCCGGGGAGCTCGTGCACCCCCCTCCTTCCCCCCCCCTCTGAGGGGATTTTGGATGGCAGGGGAGGGGGACTGGGGCAGGGGGCCCGCCAATTGTCTCACACGCGTGTTCACCACCAGCAAGGGGGTTCGGTGTGTTCTGCTGAATGCCATGAGCAGCTGCGTGCGTGCGCGCATGCACGGCCCCAGGGTGGGGCGGCGCTGGGAGGAAGCCTGAAGTCGGGGGCAGTGTGAGGGGGGGGAACCATTGACCTGGCATCGGCGATACACTGCCGATAGATCGGTCCAAAGCCCCCGATAGCGAATCCACACTTTCCTGGGCGGGGTGGGCCATCGGGCCCGTATCGGCGATCGCTGGGCGATTCGAGGCCGATGCATCCCCGCCCGAGCCCATCACCCCCCCCGAAGCTGCTCCTCACGGGGGTGGGGGGGGCAGGGCGGAGGGGAAGGGCGTCAAGAGCGTGGAGGCCGCCCGCTTCCCCAGGCACCCTCCCGTGTGAAACAACAAACAGCTCATCTCTCCCAGCCCCTCGCAGCCGAAAAGGTACCTGACCGAAAAGAGCTCGGTGACCCAAAGCGTGCCCGAAATCGCGGCCGCGCACAGGGTGCGAATGAATTCGTGACCGAAATTGACATGTGCTTCGGTTTCGAACAGCGGATTCCGGTCCCTGCTTGGCGCGTTCGGAAAATTCGGGCGTCTGCTCCAGTCACAGTCGGGCAGATTTCTGGGCACAGTCTCGGCCACCTCACACCCCTGATGGAAACGAGGCTGCGTGAAACAACTACAAACAGAACGTTCGGACTTCTCAGCTCGTATTTCCTGGGTCCGCACTGGACCCCCTGGCGGCGCTTTCGACGCCGCTCCTTGCGTGCTTCAGGCGCCAGGGGAGAGGGTCTAGTGCCGACCCAAGAATCCCGCGCGGGCTTTCAATCATTCTTTTTGTTTTTATTTCTGGCCCATAATGTACGGGTCGTCTGTTTCCCGTCGCCCTCCCTTCCCACAACCCTCCAACATCCAGAAGGCCCAGGAGCTTGTAGGCGACATGCGAATCAGGGGGTCGCTGCGCAGACAGTCGCGCGCATATTGCCCGCGTGAGGTCGCGCGTGCGTGCTCCATTTCCTGCGCAAGACGGCATCGGCGGCCAACAGCCCGCGTAAACGCCAGCGCGTGAGGCCGCTGTCGTCGTGCGTAGGATCCCCTTCTCTTCGTCGTCCAGGCGAAGCTGAGCTCGCTAGCCACTCTCCTGTAACAATCTTCTCGATTGACCTGGGACGCAACGTACCCGGGGACCCCTCGCCTCCTTCTTGCAATCTGTTGTTGCCTATCTGTCTGGATGGCGCGACGCGATGCAAGCAGTCTTGGTACGAGCATGACTGGATACTACCGTGGGAGCGCGCAGCATATGGTAATCACAGTGGTGCCTGGAAACATGGGTCCGTATGTCAGGATCAGCCTGGCTAGCATCGATGAAGTGTGCAGTTTGCGTCCTTCCATCGGCTCCTTCTATCACTGGGCGAAGGGGAGGATCGAAGCGAGCAACGCCATGGGCTTGCCCGGAACTTTTTCTCAGGATTCGGAGCGCAGACCACAAGCGCAAGTGGCGAGCTGGCCTACGACTACTGGCGGGCAGGGACGGGCCGGTCGCACGGAGAGAGAAGATATGGAGGCGGCGTATGGGAATACAGGGAAGGTCGACTAGGTTGAGTTAGGTTGTTGCAGAACGCAGAGTCAAGTTCGATCCGATCGATCCGAACCGATGTCGGTTTTGGCTGGCCCGATCCGATTCGATTCCGATACTCCGACGATCCGATGCGGCCCGATGCTTGCATGGCGATGATGTGCATCTTGGCGAAGCCGATCCAATTCGATTCCAACTCCGTGCCGATGCGATCCGATTTCCCGATTCGATGCTGACTGATCTTGTGACCAGAGATGAGGATGAGGATGAGGATGAAGATGAAGATGAGAGCTGGCGGGCCCGAGCATTTTGCAGGAGGGACCAGACGCCAGCTGTGTGAATTCAGAAAGGTCAGAGATCACAGGCCATGTAGATGCTGCCGTCTTCTGCGACGGAGAGGCTAGGGCATCAGGCTACGACTGGTGGCCGTGCGGTTCGGTGCTCTCGCGCGGATGTCTTTTTTCAGAGTGATGCTGTAGAATCCGTGCGCATGCAACACCATGCAGAGGGCCTTAGATATCTCGCTCGAGTTGCCTAACAGGGACGTCACTGCACTCATCGGCACCCAGCTCAGAAGTCGATGAGAACTTACTGAATATACCTTTCGTGCCAATGGATATTTGTGCATACCGTTCGGATTCAAGAGTGGCAGGTTTGTCGACCGAAGTTGTGGCATCACATTTATGTTGAGAGGCTCTCGCTTCAGGGAGCATAACACTGAGAAAGTGTTCGAGGTGCCAAAGATAATATGGGGGAGGTGCGCAGCGATGATAATACAGCGGGGACGGCTACGACTCCTACTTATTGGTATGTACTTCCCACCACGGCATATGAGGAGGCACGGGCGTGATAATCAAGAGAAGACTGTTACAATACTGGTCAATTGGCTAAATGAACTACTACAGAAAGTGAGCGCCCATGATATTGAATTGTTTTTTGCAGATTGCATGATGGCCTGCAGCATGGCCCAGCTACAGTAAACTGTGGTGAGTTCAGCACACGTATCGAGCACAACACAACGACTCATCTCAGGCGGTTGCTAGATGGCATTGGGCTCACGTCGTACGGCACACGCGTCAGGATGGCACACAGCTGCATCGGGGAGAGCAGCTCCGAAACGTTGGATCACATTATTTTTCGGCATAGTATGTTGGGACTTGTGGAGAAAGTACGTATTATCGCTGCTGGTGGTCGCAGGCTCAAGTTGCATCACACTTCAGGCCCTCGAATCATAGTCCCATCCACATGACATCAATTCAGGAGCTTCACTTCCAGAGGAGACAGGATCGGCAAGAGTGACCAAACCAGGAAACCATGCATCATGCACTTCAACCAGATCGCATGAAGCAAGCGTTTTTCTCAAGCGCACCATCGACTACACAATGCGCACGTGGAGTTGCATCTTCTGGCGTACCCAGGCAGAGTTGAGGATGCCACGCAGCGTGCATTCCAGATCATCTGTGCGGTAGCCACCGAGGTATTCAAGCGCACGCCCTGCTTCACGGAGTCGCATTGTGAGCATGTTCAGGGGGTGAAGAGTTGGTTCTCAGTGCGCAGGGATGCTTGGGATCATTCTCGTTCTGGAACTGGTACGATCGAGGAGGAGATGGACGTCGATATGAGGCTCGCGAGGGCAAGCAGGGTTATGCGCACCGCGGCTTGCACGTCCCAGAAAAAAAGGTGAAAGAAATCAGGGTGGGGGAGCCTTCCCAAACCAGGAAGTTGGGGGACGGGCATACGGTGCACAACATATCCAGAATGCTCGCAGGACGGCACCGCGGCCCAAGGCAAAGACAGTCCATTTTACTTGCCACTTCTATGGCGTCAGCCAGATAGTGGCAAACGAGGTTGAAGTTGACGGGCAGGGTCGGAAGGTGTACGGCGGTATATGCGACTGAGGATGAGTTGGTACAACGAGCCGCAAGCAGGGCATGGCGTCGGCTACCTGCGCCTCGTGCTTAGGACATGGCGAATGATGATTGGCAGCAGGTCAAAGAAAGAGTTTGGCTTGAAGTTGTGGACGACGCGGCCTGAGTGGAGTATGCTGGTTGAGATTTTGCGCGCGGCATCTCGCCCTGAGTGGGCGAACCCACGACTCCCAGACATGCCTGATGGGCTGGGATATCACGAACAGTTTTTCGATTCGCGCGCAGAAGAGCTGGGCGGCTCCCAGTGCACATGAATCAAGAGTTGGCGTGCAGATTGCCGAAGTGCAGTTTTCACTAGGGGTGTGATGGGGAAAGGATTATCATGGTCATGCGTGTGGTGGGGAGGTGTCTACACGTGGCGCTTGCCCTGGGCTCGGGCGCGCCTGCGCGTCAATTTCTTGTCCAGTGCCGGGGTGGGCTGCGGGCGGGGAGGAGAGACTATATACATATATTATATTAATGTATGGCTCTATCGCCACAAGGCGCTTCTTAATGGTTGCGTAGGGCGTTGCTGCCAACGCGCGCCTGGGACGAAGCGCAGGAGGGGCCCGCGATCCGACGGGCGAGTTCGCGAACGAATCCTACGATGTCAACGCCGCCGCGAGGCAGGGGCGCGGGCGGCCCCGCCCCGGCGCGCGGGCGCCGTTGGCGGGCGGCGCCGCCGGCGCATCAGGGAAGGGGTCGCCCTGGCCCCGCCGGAGGCCCTGCCTCGAGAGGGGAGCGGGCCGCGGAACGATTTCGCGATCTGCGCGCGAGGAGCAGCCAGGGCGCCGGCGCGGAAGGCGCGAGCGCATGGATCCATGAGGAGAGGGAGGGGCGGGCGCCGCGGGGCATGGTTCGACTTCTCCGCCAGGCCCGGTTGGCGGCTGGACGTCGCCCTGCCCGAGGCTGAAACGGCGCGGGCAGCTCTGCGAACGCGAACGGGATCAGCATTTGGCCAGCGGCAGGAAAACCCCGGTGAGCAAAGTATAGAAGTAGCAATTCGGCGAGTAAGTCCTCGGCGGTCGAATCGAAAGTGGGTCGCGCCGAGACATCTCGACAGCTGCCAGCGGTTCGAGGGAACGAGCCCCGGGGGGGCGCGCGTGGAGAGGGGCCCCAGTCCCGATCTGAGCCAAAGCGGAAATGTGTGGAAACATTGGGACAGATCGTGGGCGATGATGTCAAGCTGCCGCTAGCGATCCTCTTCCGGATCCAGGATGGGCCGTCCTGCGCGCCACGTGCAACGGCCAGTTCGGGCGCCCCCGCGCCATTATTCGCGCGCCCCCTTGCGGGGGCGGGCGCGGAAGGCGGGGCGCTGGCGGGGGGCTCGGCGACCGTCGCCGCTGGATCCGCCGGCCCATGCATGCATGGGTCCTTCGCGTGACTGAGTTATTCTGGGGCGCGTGCCTGTGCGGCGTTGCGTCGGCCTTCGAGCGCGAGGGGGTCGAGCTGTCATCTTTATTGGAGAAGGAAAAGTCATGTGCGCATGGCTGGAGTCGGGGGCCGTGGGCGTGCCCGAGCTTCGGGCCCAGTCTGGTTCGTTGTGCGCGTTGGGGGGCGCATTCGGCATGGCGCTCATTTGCGCAGACATGGGGGCGCCGAAACCCGACGGGAAACGCGGGGATCTCACCGACGACCCGCGTGCAAGTGAAGTTTTGATGCCGGTGCCCGCGGAGGTTCGCGGCGGCGGCGGTGCGCGCGTGCAGAGAGAGTTCTCAGGTTTCACGACCAATCTAGCAGACATGACCACAGGGCCACACAGTCACCGCATTTCTTCGGACAGCGGGCAGTCCGGCCACGGCCCGCATTGCTCGGGGGGCAATCCGTGCGCCCATATGGATGTTCCAAAGTTGATCGGGCCCCGACGGGGCCGACCGCCATGCAAACTAGCGCGCGGGGCATTAATGCCTGCGCGCCTTCCATGGTGCCGCGGGCGCTGCTCTCGCCCCCCATAGACAGCATGCGCGGCGTTATTTCCAACGGTCGGTGCAGCGCGCCACTTGCAAATTTGCGTGGTCAACATCGGATGTCTTTCGGGTTTTGCCCACTGTTGCCGACCGCGTCGGCGCGCGGATTTTTGTTTTTGGGGGCGAACCCATGCGCCGATGTGGTTTGGGATCTCTCTGCGGACGGCGACGGGGCTATCCGGGTCTGGCGGGGCTGCTTGGCGCCCCGTGCGCCGAGTGCGCGTGGTTTGCGTGGGCGTGCCCCAGTCGGTGGCAGGGCGCCAGAGTTGACGGGGGCCATTGCTAGTCTTTCTCGTAGTTTCCCAACGTATGTTGTTTCTGGTTCTGGTGGAACTAGCTGGCGCGGCGGAATGCCCTGCGACCGTGTCGGTGGATGGATGTCTTCGGATATCTGGGCGCGTTCCCCCTCCAGCCCCGCGGGGCGGTCAATTATGTCCTGCGGGCCATCGGGGCGGGCGTGCGCGAGGAAGCGCAGTTCTGTGATCTGGCCGAGGCCGCTGCGGGGCGAGCCCCGCTAGGCCCGGGGCCGTTCGAAGCCGGCCGGGGACTTCGGGTGGCGGCGAACGGCGGCGGGGTGGCGGTAGCGGCGGGTGGCTTGATCGTGCGAAGTTTTGAAGGACGTCAGTGAATGGTCGATTGGTTCGATGGTGGCGAGGAAACCGTCGGCGGGGCCTGGGGCAAGAACAGGGCTCTCCCTTCCCAGCCGGGGGCCCCGGAGTCGCGGGGGGCCCGGGCGACGAGGATCGAGGCTGAAACGGGCCCGCGAGGTTCAGAGGTGATCGCGGAGGAACTTGGTCTTGGCGACAGTAGCGCGAATTCTCTAGATGCGCCTGGCTGACGAGCAGGCACCAGGGCCGCCTATTCTTCGCGTTGGCGAGGATGCGACAAGAGGTGCACGAGCGTTGCCATGCGACCTGCGTGTGTTTCGCCGAAGTAGCTGTTCTGGACAACGCTTTCAAACACCTGCACGGCATGCGTGGGGCCCCCGCGACATGGTGACAACAGGGCGCCCGCGGGTCGTGCAGGCCCGCGGGCGGGGTCTAAGTATCTCGGCAGACGAGCCAGTCCAGGTCGTCGCAATGGTGGGTTGACCGCTCTGTGGACAAGACGTCGCGAAGGTCTACAGTCTGATGCGTGGCCATCATTGGGGGGCTGTGCGCGAAGCGCGGTGGCAATCGGCCGGAAGGGGCCGGTCTTTCTGCGGGTAGAGCGGGTTTTGCGCCATCAGCATGGGTGTTTGCGCAGGGCTTCGGGTCGAAGGTGTTCTAGGCGATGGGCATGTGGCATCCGCAGTGATTCGTGTCTCTGTTTGTTGAGCCGCCCGGGTTTTTTCCTCCCGCCGGGATGTGGGCGAGCTGGAGTGCTTCCGAATCTGGTATGTGGGTCCAAGGGCGCATTGCCGTGCGGCATGTGGTGCAGGAAAAAGTCGGGGCCGAAGACCTGCTCCGACCTTCTGACAGAGCCGCTGTCGCGGCAAGAGATCGATGGCCACGTGGGAGGCAGTGGCCGCGACTTCCGCGGCGGACGGGCCGCAGCAGCACGCGTCATCTCGTGCTGGCGTGCTGCGCCGAGGGCGCGCGTTACCCCGCTTGCCTTCCAAGGCGGGGTGGTGGGCGCGGGGGCGTCCGATCGGCCTGAGTTGATGCGCGGGCAGCCCCGCGACTGCTCGAAACCGCATTCGCGGGTGGCCCCGCGCAGCACAGGGCTTCTTTTTTTGCGCGCTTCGTTGTATTCAGCTTGGGTGGATCGCCGCGCCCTCTTACCTGGAAGAAGTTGCGGAGTCGTTGCAGACGCAGTAACCTGGAGTGCATTCCAGCTTGTGGCGACGAGGGATGTGGAAATCTCATCTCTGCATCTGTGCGCGCGCGATACTGATCAGGTTGTTACACTGCGCATATTTGTAATCAGTCCAGTCGGCGCACAACTTATCTTCACCTGGAGTCATCGCACATGGCTCGGGACAAAGAAGCGGGGGTTGGGCGGTGCCCGTTTCCAGCACACGCCCCCCCCCCCCCCCCTCCGTTGTGGCAGCGAAACTCCGGCAGGGCCAGGGCCGTTCCAGAATGGTCTGGGACGGTCGGGCTGCACTCCCCACAGCCGCCACTTAATCCGAGAAGTCCCCGCTTTGTCCCTGTCCGATGTTGTTGTGGTGCTGGCTTCGCCTTGCCATCCCTCCGTGGGGCCCCCTGTCGCATGGCGATCCTGCCATGTGCTGCTGCTCCTGCTGTTGCTCGTGTGGTGACCTGAGTGCCTCCTCCGCCTTCTCCTTTTCCTCCCCCTTTTCTCCTCCTCCTCCTCCTCCTCCTCCTCCTCATCATCATCATCATCACCGTCATCATCATCGTCGTTATTACCATCATCCTTCCTCTCCCGGCTTCTCCTCCCGCCTCCTCCTCCTCCTTTCTCCTCTTCCCCGCCCTCGCATCCAGTCGCACCTCTGCCCCTTCAGCCCGCTGGTGCTGCTTCTGGTCCCTCTTGTTTCTTCCTTTTTTCTCCCGCTTTCGTTTTTCTCGTCGTCGTCGTCGTGGTCGTCTTCGTCGCCGTCGCCGTCGCCGTCTTCGTCGCCGTCGTCGTCGCCGTCGTCGTCGCCGTCGTCGTCGCCATCGTCGTCGTCATCATTGTCGTCAGCATCAGCATCGAGCTCGGGAGTTCCCGAACGACGTGAACTCCACCTCCCCCTCAGAAATCGTGGGGGGGGGAAGGGGTAGGGTTCGCATGTGGTCCCCTATCGTCGTCGTCGTCGTCGTCGTCATCGTCGTCGTCGTCGTCGTCGTCGTCGTCGTCGTCGTCGTCGCCGAATTCATTATGCTCCTGCTCGACGTCGCCGCCGTCGTCACGTCTGCGTTTACCTCGTCCTAACAGTTGGGCTTGGGCAGGTCGGCGGCGTACCCCAAGGCCGCTGCGGAGGGGGTCTTCCTGGGGGACACGACCGACAAAGGCACGACGCTGCTACGGGGGGGGGGATAATAAGGGATAGGAGGAGGGGCTGGATTGGGAGGATTGGAAGGAGGAGAAGAAGAAGA